AAAATGGGGTGATAATATACCCCAGGTTGTTTCAAGGGCTAGATGAGATTTCATGGACTTACAGTGGCTTGGCATGCGGCGGGTGGTCCATGAATGTTTGCCTCCCACGGAGGAGCCTACCTCCCTGTGGAGGATCGGTAGTAACTGATGACCGGAGGGCGCGGGTCCTCCCGTCCACCTACTCCTCCAGGGGTGCAGTGTCCCCCAACCCAGCACCACACCTCCATTGTCCCTGGCACTCGCTGCCTCTGCCCAGGGGACTAACTGTGATACCAAGTTCCCTCAAAGCCCAGGGCACCCCAGTCTTTCCTCAGTGTCTTGTCGCCCCCACGTGGCCAGTCTAAGTTCCTCTTGGCCAGGTCTTAGCACTAACTCTTGGCGGGGCTTCCAGAGGCTCCAAGAGCCGGGATCCGGGAGAATTCCCCGCCCCAGCTGCATAGCTTTGATCCCCAAACCCTCCTGCCAGGCTGCGCCTGACAAACCTCCGAATAAAAAGGGGGCTGATTTTCAGGTTACTTGTTGACCGACAGCTTAGGGTTAAAGCCCTATAAGGAAGGATAAATTCCCAGCGCACGCGCACACCCACACCCACACACCGGCCTGCAGGGGAGCCCCAATCCCCTCAGTATAACATAGGACATTTCTAGATTACTTTGCCTTCATATCAGCATAACAGTTTTCATACATATCAAATGCCAGCCTTGTCAAATGTCCAGTCAACGCCTACATTTTCGCAGTACCATAAGGCTTCATATATCGTACTTATATTTCATATACTCACATTATTTTACTATGAGATTTTCCTTTCTTCTTTCCTCTTGTTTCTTTCCTTTCCATTTATTGAGTGCCCAACAGTAACAGCCAGGGGTTCTATTTTCCCACATGTTGTAATCATAGATTTGCTTACATATTACATTTTTGTCCATCTTTAAACCAGTTAATGTTATTTAATCCCAGAATAACTCTTGACCAATTATGCCTATTTTAGAGTTGAAGAAACTAAGGCTATGCGTTAATTTTAAACCTCTACTTATTGAGTACTTAGTACTTACCAGCTTCTATGCTAAACATTACCTATCTTATCCCTTGATCTTCGACCCAAGTTATCTGCTGTGCCGAAAAGAGATTACTGAGCTCAGAGAAAGCTGTAAACAGAACAGCAGGCTGTAATTGCAGAGCCAGGGGGAGCTCCCTACCTCTCCCTCCTTCCTCCAAAATGCCCTCTGGATTGAAGGGAATTCAAAGTGAGAACTGTTATGCAAACAGAGTGATGGAATGGTAAGTGGATTAATATAAGTGTCCTATTATGCTATTCTAGTTCCTTTAATAATTGTCGTTTCCTCACATATAAAAACAGCGGTGGAAATATCTGAATTGCAGAGGTCCTAGTAGAATTAAACGAGACATTAAATCCTTCTAAACTATAAAGCAGGATACAAAAATGAGACCCATTAAAATACTGTAGATGCGGTTTATTGGTTTCCTTTTTCACTTTATTAATGTAATAGTACTAATCCCCAAGTAGTGCATCAGTTGGAAGAAGTCAAACAATGACTGCAATGCATGTTGAAGTTAACCTTCATCTCCCGCATAGCCCTCCCCCAATTCCACTCTCCCAAGGCAACCAGTATGGGGTTTGGTGTGGATACTTGTAAACGTTCTATGCCCATGCAAGTATTTCATTTAAACACAGAGAGAAACTGTCTCCTCTGGCTGCAGTCATGCTAGTCAAGCTCCTCTGCAACTTGCAGACTTGTCATTTACCAGGTAGCTGCTTCATAGACAATCATTCCATTTACACCAGGGGTCCTCAAACTTTTTAAACAGGGGGCCAGTTCACTGTCCCTCAGACCGTTGGAGGGCCGGACTATAGTTTAAAAAAAAAACTATGAACAAATTCCTATGCACACTGCTCATGCTCTGGCCGGGTGAACTGTCGTCTTCATAAGCTCTTGCAGAGTTAACTTACCTGTCCACATATCCTTATTTTGAAGTAAAAAAACAATACGGGAACAAATACAACATTTGTATTTGCATGTGGCTCATGGGCCGTAGTTTGAGGATCCCAGATTTACACTGTCACTCATTTGCATAATATCCATTGTACAAACGCCCTTCATTTACTCAGTCATCACCCTGAGTTTTTCTTCAAAAAATTCTTTTGGAGAAAGAACACCCTTTCCCCCTTCATTACTTCTCGGTATCAAACCTCTCAAACCTTCTCTAGGCAGCTATGTGACCTTCCTGGGGAGTGAAAATTCTGCCAGGCTCCTCCCTGGGCCCCAAGCTATTTCCAATCCTCTCCCCACCCACATTCCCCTGCCCTTGTTTCTGACAATATCTCTGGGTGCCTTCTGAAAGCTCACGTCATTTCAGAAGGCAGCATGTACCCAGCCACACACTGCAGCAGCCCTGAAGAAATCCTTCAGAAGTCTGCACTAGCCCTGGCCGGCAGCTCAGTTGGTTGGAGCCTCGTCTCAATTCACTTGGGTTTCGGGTTCAATCCCTGGTCAGAGCACATGTAAGAATCAGCCAATGAATGAAGAAATAAGTGACAGAACAAATCAATGCCTCTCTCTCAAAAAAAAAATTAAAAATTTTTAAATTTAATTTTTAAAAAATCCACACTAAAAGGCAATGAGAGAGGGTGGCCTCTGGCTGTTGGGGACCAGCAGACCTTTGGGCTCCCAATGACATGGCTGGGGTCCTCCGACCTGTAGCTGGATAGAAGCCTCTGCCTGTCTCTCTGTCCTGGCTCTTCTCTCCAGTCACCCGCCTCCTCATTTGCCGCAGTGATCTCAGCATCTCATATGCTTCCTCAGCTCACAGACTTTCAAGGGCTTCCCATTCTATTCAGTAAAGCCCCAACTTTTCACCACAGTTCTGTGAACTCACTATTTTCACAAGAGAACATCTGTCCTCTATTAAAGGTCAAGCACAAACCAGGAGCCATCTTCCTCTCCTTCACCTGTATTCAGTTAATTCCAGTGTCCCAGCCTCTCTCCTCAAAAATAACTCTCAAATTCATCTATTTCTCTGTGCTGGCACTATTGAGAATGCTTTCCTAACTCCTGCCCTCCCCCGAAACCTTCCCCAGGGAGTAGGGACCCACGACTGTTGGAAGTACTGGGTACACCGTTCCCATTTTTATTGTTTTAAGTCATTGCCCATTTGAAGAATTTAAAGGCAGTTCATGGCAAAAACATTGTGGGACTTGGTAGGTATGTTTAGGTCAGTCACCTCTAGACATGACTGTCATGCTGTCCTTGTGTCTGGAGGAGGGGAATACCTGACAGGGGGGAGTAAGGTTTTTATTTCAGCCCTCAATGTTTACTTCTTGTGGGAAAAGGTGAAAATGAGCCACCTAGTGGCAGCTACTTCTCGGCGGGGCAGAGTCCAGGAGGGGGAAGTCTCCTTAAGCAATCTCATATAGATGTCTCTCTCTCTCTCTCTCTCTCTCTCTCTCTCTCTCTCTCTCTCTCTCTCCTCTCTCTCTCTCTCTCTCTTTCCCCCCACCCTCTTCCCCTCCTCTCTAAAAATCAATGGAAAAATATCCTAAGGTGAAGATTAACAAAAACAAAACACATACAAAAAATTAAAGCATAAGATCTCCTTCCTTTAGAAAATGTTCAAGATTTGAGCCTTTGTCTGTTTTTAGCATTGGAATTTTTAAACACCTTTTCTCCTTATACCTTTGCCAAATATTTATTGCAGTGACTGGCACATTCCTCATTTAGCTATTTCCCGAGCTATGTCAGAGTTATGTTCTCCAAATTCAATTCCACAAATATGTAATCCAGGACCGGGACTTATGCTAGGCATTGCTGGCATCACAAGGTATGCCCCTACCCCTGGGACCTCAGCTATTTAAGAAGCCGAATTACATCAATTACTGTGGTCTTGACCAAGCTAAGTGTTATTAGGCACAAAGGGCTCGAAGGAGAGGCAAGTGTGAAGGGAAGGGCTCAGAAAGATGCCAGAAAAACAATGACTTGAGAGGAGAGTAGGTCTGGAGTCACACACTGTTCTGTCTGCCATCAAAGACTTGCTAGGTTCTGCTGGTCCAGTCCTGAAACTCCTGTGCCTGCTTTCCTCCTGAGGCCAGTGAAGGCACAGGCAGAATGAAAATGAAGGCAGGACTGACTATACTGTGCAAAAATTTTGCAAATCCTTAGACAGCTTGGAACAGGGAGTAGGCAAAACTCTGACTGGGAGTCAGAATACCAGGGGTTTGGTCCCAGTTCTGATTTTGCTGGCTTTGTGATCTAGGGCAAACCCAGCACCTTTCTGGACCTGGGCCTCCCCACAGGTAGAACAGCTATCCTAACACCTACCAAGGTCAGCCCTCAGGGTACCTGTGAGGGTTGCAGGGTCTGCAGCAGTAACTGGAGGGGGTGAAGAGGAAAGAAGGTAGGAGAGCAGCAATGGGAGCAGGCTGACCAAGAGAAGAGAGGTGGGATGGCTGGCCGGCAGCCACATGGAGCCTGGGGACAAAGACGATGGTCAGGCTGCACTAAGGAGTGAAGGTCTGTGGCATGATTTCCAGCTTGAAAACTGCTCATAACTTTGTGAGACCGACATTACCTGTCTGAGAAATGAAAGTAAGCATGCACCTTGACCTTAAAGGTTGTCTGGCTAGGTTGTACTAATCACCCAGCATGCCACGGACCTTCATGTGGCACACATCAGACACACAGTGGCATCAGCAAAGCCAGCAAGGCCACGCCCTGGCCTTGAGGTCTCCCTCCGGGGCAGGGTCCTCTTCAGTTCCCAGTCCAGCCGAGTGGGGCTGAGCACACATCTCTGGACTCAGCCCTTGGGTTCTGAAAAGGACATGGCCCTGGTCAAATCTTCGGAAAAGAACAGAGAAGACACGGGTTTGGAACAGGTTAGGAGTGAGTTTGAGGGTAGGCTTATGACCCTCCTTAGATGCAGAATCATATTTTATAAATCTGAAAAACTACCATTTGGGGCTAATTCCCCCAAATCAGAGTCAACCATAAGTAATTAATAAAAGTTTTATTAAATCATTTAGACTTGAAAGAAGTCACAATAGTTAACACACTTAAGTGTGTTCTATATACCACCAACCCAAACGGATTGAGTTCAGAATTTTTATAAATAAAAAATAAACATATTTACAGTGAAAATAAAAACAAGTTAGATGATTAAACTGTTATCTATAATCAGTTTTGGAAAACAACCTGCCTATAGAATTACATATAAGACACTTAAGATTTTATTCGGTTTAAAGTCCATAAGTAAAGAAGTTAACTGTAAAATGTGATTCATTTCTTACTACGGCCTTTTTCATCCCCAAACCAGAACTTTTGACCAATTTACATAAAAGCTTCATTCCCTTTTTTGGAGGTAAAGCACAAGTTCTTACACCCTCCCTGGACCATCTGAGAAACAGCTATGATGCTACCGAGGCCACTACAGAGCTAGCTATGGACGTAAACCATTGTGCAGTTTGTGCTACTTGTCCTCCCAAATAGTGCAGATTTCTGATTTACCCACTGAGACAAAAACGGAGTCAGCTTTTTGGAAATTAGTTTAAAAATCAGCAGTATCTCTAGAAAGCGTATTTCTAGAACAATATAGCTACCGTATGTAGGGATTTTCATGATTCTGTGCTATAAAAATATCTCTCTATTAATTTTAGGGATTGCTTGACCTCGCCAGGCAACAGGTGAGGGCTATAGAGCGTGGCCAGCCAATTTCAAGAGACCCAAGAAAAAGGACCACATGTGATTTAGTGATGGTTCTCTCCTCGAGGACAGCAAAAATCAAGAGTTGGCTCAAATTAGGTTGTGCCCCAAAATTCAGTTTAAATTTGACTTAGAAAAAGTAGTCCAAAATAAAACTGAGCAAAGAACAAAGTTCTCAAGTCTACAATTTTGGAAAGTCACATTCCTAAGCAGAGAGTATTCTGTGTCATCTGTTAGGGCACAGGCACAACCTAAGGCGAACTGCTTGGCAAAGGGCTACGGGAGTCGCTGGAGTGTCTTGATGGTTTTGTTCCTGATGAACTCACGGAGCGGGACCTCTGCCTGAGCACAGTTTTTCCTGGAAGCTCCAAGTCCTCAAATACAGTGTTTTCAATGACGTGTGCAGCTTCAGGCCGCTCCATGGGGGATGGAGAGAGCATCTCTTGAACCATCATATACTGAAATATAAAAATTGTTTTGTGATAAATGGGTCAGATTTAGAACACTAAACAGTCCCCTAGTTCAAGAGTCAGCAAAATTTTTCTGTAAACATCTTAAGTTTGCAAGCCAGCTTCTGCTGCCACTACTCAGCTCTGCCACTGCAATACAAAAGCAGCCACAGACAGATTGCAAACAAATGGGCATGGCTGGATCCCAAAACTTTATTACAAAAACTAAAGGCCCAGTGCACAAAATTCGTGCATAGGTAGGGTCCCTAGCGGCTGCCAGCTGTCAGCTGGGGCCTTCCTTCATTCCGCGCCGTCCCCTGGTGGTCAGCGCACATCATAGCAAGCGATCAAACTCCCGGTCAGTCGAACTCCTGAGGGGACACTTTGCATATTAGGCTTTTATATATATATATTAGAGGCCTGGTGCATGAAATTTTGTGTACAGGTGAGGGGCGGGTCCCTCAGCCCGGCCTGCACCCTCTCCAATCCGGGATCCGTCTCGCAGTCTGGAACCACTGGCTCCTAACCACTCACCTGCCTGCCTGCCTGATGCCCCTAACTGCTCTCCCCTCCTGGCCTGATCACTCTAACGGCCTAACTGCTCTCTCCTCCTGGCCTGATCCTCCTAATTGCTCTCCCCTGCTCGGCTGGTCCCCATTGCTCTCTCCTCCTGGCCTGATCACCCTAACTGCCTAACTGCTCTCCCCTTCTGGCCTGATCCTCCTAATTGCTCTCCCCTGCCAGGCTGATCCCCACTGCTCTCCCCTCCTGGCCTGATCCCCCTAACTGCCTATCTGCTCTCCCTTCCTCTCCACACCCTTTGGACCCCTGGCGCAGGCGTGCTGAGAGTTCTCCACCACAGCCCCACCCCTGTCCTGATTGGTCATTACATGACGGCATCCTGGGCAATTTGCATATTCCTCTATTATTAGTATAGATACAGGCAGCAGGCTGGACTTGGCCAACTCCTGCTCCAAATAAATATGGGCCACTGTAGGTAATTGCTTGTTATCTAAGATGTAATACAGAGTCCTAAATCATATCCTTGAAACACACAATCTGACTTTAGAAACAAATTCACTTACAATTGAACATGAATGTACAATCATCTCAATAAAAATTTCAATTCAAATATAACTATGCCAGAGATCAACACTTGACACCTTTAAGAATTTTTTGAACCCCTTTAATGTAACATATTCTCATTTAATTGAGTCATTAAATCTGCAAAATATATAATGAAATGATTTTTAATAAAAATATATTTCATTTAGGTTAGTGTACCAGTATCTATTATTATAAAATTCATTTTAATGCAATCCTTTATTATACTTATAATACTGAAAGATAAATTTAAACTTCAATCTATGATTAAGTCTAACTTACTTCAACTTAATTATTTAAGAAAATTCAAGAGTAATCAATGTGTAAATTTTAAAGGGTATGTGGACAAAACATTTTATGAAATAAAAATAAACAAAAGCTGAAAAAAGAAACCATCAAGGGTTCATCACACATAACTTTCACCATACAAGACTAGCTTATGTCCCACCCCCTCTCCTGACATTCTACTGTGGCACTCTGAGCCGTCTGACTCCAACACACAATCAGTAGGACCTAATGCCCCCCACCCCAAAGAAGCCAGTTTTTAAGATCGCTCCCAAATTCACAAAGATAAAGCCATTAATGGCATGGTAACAATAACAACTGTCCTGCGAGGTCCACCTGGAGGTGAGCCCTGTAGAAGGCAGAACGCCAGCAGCTTGGGAGCACGGCCTACGGCCCTGAGGAGCTCCAGTCTTGTTTTAATAAGACGGTGCTCTGGCTCAGGTTCCTGTCCTCCCTACACCTGTAGCTTCATCAGTAAAATGGGGCAACTGATGAACTGACCGCTAAGGACCCTGTAAGTTCTAAATATGATTCTAAAGAAAATAAAAGATGAGAATTATACAAACCTCACGAGGATATTTCTGAGTAAACAGTGGTGGAAATCTGAGATTTCTTACATCAGTTAAGACCTAAAAAGAAAGAAAAGTAAGAGAAAAGGTGTTACTTATCTTTAAATCTATTTTGATATATAGATCTATTTAAACATGAAGTATTTTTGATATTTTAGAGCAGTGGTTCCAAGGTTGAGAGGAATGACCAAGGAGAGAGGGTGAATGTTAACAGGTGGAGAACTCATCAGTAGCTTTTCCTGATGGTAACCTACACATCGGTATTTCCTGGGCCTACATGCACACACCATCCAATCACCAAAATCACAGAATCACTCAGGTGTAATTATACTTGAACTATGCACATGATGCCAACACCTGGCCTATGGCTGAGCACAGGCTGACGAGTACCAAAGTAACTCAGCTCTCAGGAATTCAGTGTCCTTCAGTGGGTAACCTTTCTTATCAGCTCCTAACATCTCTGCACTTGGTTTTTAAAAAAAAGCATATTCTTTTCCTTTTTATTTTTTTGAGTGACGGAAACCAAACAATTATGCTAAATACTGAGTATAAACTAAGCTTTTTAAAATTCTCTGGGAAGTTTTCAGATAAATTATTACTCTTCATGTTCCAGTTTCCTCGTTTACAAAACAAAGACAATACGGTCTGCACTATACAACTGTGAGAATTAAATGAGGTTAAATCAGTACCTGATACTTTATTTTTTGCTTTTTCATCTTAACTTTTTTTAAAAAAATGTTTTGTTTCGTTTTTTAAAAAATAATATTTTATTGTTGAAAGTATTACATATGTCCCCTTTAGACAAAACCAGTTTTTATAAATGAAATAAATCAAGTAAGTCTTTATATTTCTTAAGAAATAAGCTGAAAAGGGGGTGCGTGGAGGTAGGAGAGGGTAAAGGGGGGATAAATGGTGGTGCAAGAAGACATAAATTGGGGTGAACACACAATACAATATACAGATGATGTATTATACAATTGTACATGTGAAACCTGTAAAATTTTAACCTGTAAAATTAAACAATGTCACTGCAATAAATTCAATAAAAATAAAAAAGATTAAAATTAAAAAAAGAGAGAGAGAAAGAAAGAAGCTGGAGTGTACTTAAAAAAAAAAGAAAAGTGGAACTAGGTTGTCATTTGTTACTTCCCACTAAAGAAAACAGAAACTTAACCAGACGAGCTTGTGCCGCAGGCCCACAGAAAAGGGTTCCATGTGCTAACAGGTGGATCATACCAAACTGAGTGCAGGTAAACGCTGGAGTCTGAACTCACTGAATCAACTTTTAATTATATAATATTTTAAAACAAAGTTTTTTATTTAAAACTTAGAATTGAAAAGAGACCACTATCTAATTCCAGAACTGAAACATATGTGTTGGCAAGGATGTTAAAGAACCAGAACTCTCCCACGCCTGTGTGGGAATGTAAACTGGCACTTGCTTATGAATGTAAACCACTTCCCACACAGCTTATCAATTCTACCTAGGTCAGCACCCAGGACAGATGAAAACATGTCTACAAAAGACTTGTTCACAAATATTCACAGTATCTTTATTCATAAATGTTCTCAATAGGTAAATGGATACATGAACTATGGTATACATACAATAGAATTTCACTAATAAAAATGAATGAACTACTGATACACTGAGTAACATGAATGAGTCTCAAAAACTTGTTGGTGAGTCAAAAAAGGGAGACACAAAAGAGTATGTTTTGAAAGATTCCATTTACATGAAGTTTTAGAAAAAACAGTAAGTAGATGAGCAGCTGCCTGGGATGGTGGTAGGGACTGATTGGGAAAGAGCAAAGGAAACCTTCTGGGATAACAGAAATGGACCATGTTTTGAATGTAGTAGTGGTTACATGGGAATATAAACTCATCAAAACTCATCAAACTGTACACTTAAAGTGGTTATACTTTACTGTGCGTAAATTGTGCTTCCATAAAATTTATTTAAAAAGGACCTTGTTCAAATCATAAAATGGTCTGTTTCACATGCACTTAGAGAACTCTGGAGAGATTCTGGCTCAACACGGCATATTTCCTACCACATGTTCAGTAAACATTTGCACTAAAACAAGTGTAACAGAATGTAAAATGTATACTAAGTCTATAAGGATGAGTGCACTGGGAGAAAAGTCAAATGTCTGGAAGATAGAAAGTGGATGGAAGCATAGCAACTACCTCAGCAGAAGAGAGGAAGGTAAGCCAGGCTACCTACAGGGATAACGCCAATAAACAGGGAGTGGATGACCTGAAAGTATGTACACAGAGTGACACATCTGCTTGTAAACACATGAGGCTTATTCTCTGGAGAAACTGAATCAAGAAAGTCCAGACTTGGAGTACTCAGCAGAAAGGAGGCATGCGTTGTGGTGGGTACAGAACAGCAGGATGAGGTGCAGAGCTGCACACATCCCCATCACCCACACTTTCTCCTCAGGAGAACGAGAGACACTTCTCCGGAGAAAATGGTTCTAGAAAGCCTACAGACATTGAATTGGGGAGTTCTCTATTATATCAAAGATAAGAACTGAATTGTAGCCCTTACAGTGAAGTCCTTCCAGTCTCCACTTGAGAGCCCTAGTCTTAAATATGAATGAACAGGTGAGGATTATCAACATGATAAAAAAAATCATTAAAAACCAGAGTTAGTGATTTTAGCAAGGAGGGAAGCGTGACTATGGGGAGCAAGAGGGAGTTTCTGTGATGGAACAGTTCTGTGTCTACATTGCAGTAGCAGTTACACAAATCTACACCTGAGGTAAAAGAACATGGATCTACACACACACATTGTACCCAGGTGAAATTCCTGGTTTTGATACTGTGCTACAATTTATGTGAGATGTAACCATTAGGAGAAATTGAGTGAGGAGCACATTCAATCTCTCTGTATTATCTTTGCAACTTCCTGTGGCTCTCTATTAATTAAAAAAAAAATAAAAACCCAGAAGAAAGAGACAATACAGGGTGAAGAAAACTTAAAACACATACATACACACACAACTGAGGTGTATGATAAGATACAAAATCCAGGTAAAAAGAGTAAAGTGCTATTAAAAAGGAACAATCTTGAACAATAAAAATTGGATGGTCAAAATAAAAAATTAGAAAAGTTGAAATAACAAGTTAAGGAATTCTTTTTAAAAAAATGTATTTTGCCCTAACTGGTTTGGCTCAGTGGATAGAGCTTCGACCTGAGGACTGAAAGGTCCCGGGTTCAATTCCAGTCAAGGGCATGTGCCTTGGTTGCAGGCACATCCCCAGTAGGAGGTGTGCAGGAGGGTATAGATGTTTCTCTCTCATCGATGCTTCTAACTCTCTATCCCTCTCCCTTCCTCTCTGTAAAAAATCAATAAAATATATATTTTTAAAAAATGTATTTTTACTGATTTCAGAGAGTAAGGGAGAGACAGAAATAGAAACATCAATGATGAGAAAGAATTCCTAACACTGATTATCTGACTGGGAATCGAACCAGTGACCACTCAACCGCTGAGACACACCGGCCGGGCAAGTTAAGGAACTCTTGCAAAGAACAATATTAAAAAACAGAAAGATGAAAATAGAAGAAAAAAATAATAGGTATTTAAGATTAAGTCAGGCAATTCAGGAAAAGGAAACAGAAAAATTGAAGAACTTATTTTTAAAAAAATTTATTAGAACTGAAGGATTTATATCCTAACTGAAGGGACCTATCAAGTATCAAGCACAGTAAGTGAGGGGGAGAAAAAAAGGTCAATGAGGACTAAATTTCATAACAGCACTGATAAAGGTAAAGCCCTAAAAGCTTCCTGAAAGAAAAATAAAACAGGTCAAACATCCCATATAAACAATTCAGGTATCAGCTTCTGGATAGCAGCGCTGTGAAGCTACATGAGCCAGTCAATGCCCTCAAGGTTCTGAAGGGAAATTATTTCCAATCTAGAATTGGAACCTGGCCAATTTATCAATTATGTGTGAAGATGAAAAAAAAATACATTTTCACATACTTGGTGACTCTAAAAATGTATCTCTCATATATTCCTTCTGAGGCATTTATTGCAGAATGTGCTCTAGCAAAATAAGGGAGTAATGCAAGAAAAAGGGAAAAACTTGGAATCCAGGAAACAAGGGGGGCCAGGCTAGGAGGGTAGGAAAGTATGTCCTTGGCTGAAGACTTATAGAAGGTCTAGGGGCGATCAGAACAGAGTGAAGGACAAAGGCTTTGAGGAGAAGATTACAGGAAAAAATATCTATCTATCTATCTATCTATCTATCTATCTATCTATCTGCCTTCCTGCCTACTCACCCACTTTCCCGAGTGATAGATAGGTAAATAAATAAGCTATATTGAAGTAGAGAAAATACTGTTTGATATTTGACAGATTTTGAACATTTGTTAAAAATTGCAACCAAGGTTCATTGGAAACTAAGTAATTGAGAAAAGGCAATTCTGGAAAAAAGAATTGCATCAGAAAGAAAAAGAGTATATATGATCTAGCCAGAATAATATTTGCATGGCCAAGAGAAATACTGACTTCATTTAACCAAAATGTTTTTACACAGTTACATGTTTTTTATTTACATTTTTAAACTGAAATAAAACTCGCCTTTTAAATCATTTAAAAGTATATAACTCAGTGCTTTTTATTCTATTCACATGTACAACCATCACCCCTAATTCTAGAACATTTCCTTTCCATCCCCCCAAAAGAAGCCCCATACCCATTAACCAGTCACTCTCTACCCCTTTTACCCCCAACCCCTGGGAACTATTAATCTACTCTGTCTTTATAGATTCTGTATATTTCATATAAATGTCAAAAAATTCATACAATATTGATCTTTTGTGTCTGGCTTCTTTCAGTTAGCACAATGTTTTCAAGGTTCATTTGTGTTGCAGCATAGATCAGTAATTTATTCCTTTTTTGGCTGAATAATATTCCATTGTATGGGCATACCACATTTCACATTTTGTTTTGCCATTCATTAGCTGGCTGGGTTGTTTCTATTTTCTGGCTATTATAAAAATGCTACTATGAACATCTTTGTACACATTTTTTGTGTGAATATGTTTTTATTTTTCTTGGGTGTATACCAAGGAGTGAAACTGCTGAGTCATATGTAACTTTATGTTTAACTATTTGAGTAACTATCAAACTGTTTTCCACAGCAGCAGTACAATTTTAAATTCCCATCAGCAATGTATGAAGGCTCTAATTTATCCACATCCTTGCCAACACTTGTTATATTTTTTATTATTATTATATCCATCCAATATGGAATGGATTAGTACTTCATTGTGGCTTTGAAATGTATGACCCTAATACGTAATAATGTGCTTATTGGACTTTGTAAACCTTCTTTGGAGAAATGTCTAAGTCTTTTTCTCATTTTTAAATTGAATTGTCTTTTTGTTGTCGAATTGTAATAGTTTTTTATATATTCTGGAGACTAGAACCTTATCAGATATGATTCACAAACATCTTCCATTTTGTAAACTATTTTTACATTCTTTTGGGGTCCTTTGATGCCATATGATTCCTGATCCTTTACATAGGTTGGGCCTGTTTAATATCCCTTTCTGGAGGCTTTTAGGATGTTCTGAAATTGACTCATTCTGGCAGGTCCTAATGGTTAGAAGATATGAGTCCTTTGGCTAGCTGCTAGACCTACATCCTCTTCTACCATGGCCAGGAATCAATAGGTAAGTCTAAAACTGATGAAGAAATGGTGATAAGGGCTTAAGTTTTGGAAACAGCTTAAGTTTAAGTTAACGTCAGGGACAGCAGCTACAAAAGCTGAGGGTGACCATTTAATGATGGGGAAGCCCGGGACAGGGGTACTTGTAAATACTTTGAGTACTGTCTACCTTAAAAGCCATGGCCGTGGTTTGAAAGGGGAAAAAAAACAAGTGAGTATGCTTAGTTTGCCAGCTTTTAAGTGTATGAGTTAAGTGGCAATTTGTCCTCCAGAATAGTCCCCTGTGACCACCCACTGCCGCCACCACTCCCACCCCATGGTTCCCCTTACTCTGCACTTATAGTCACTCAGTACTCGATACTGTTAAGTTAGGATCAATTTTAGTAACAACAAGGAACTAAAAAGTCAACTAAATAATTTTTTAAGATTGAGCTTTAAATGGAAGCAAACTGTCTACAAATCTTCCCTTATAGTTCACATTACTTACTTCACTTGTAGTTAACCAATCTGCTGGTATTAAGAATAATTTACTCCTCCTTCCACCTCCCCAAAAAAGGGTAACTTATTCCCCATTTAAATTCTTTTGTAAATTTAAGACTATTTTATTTTTCCACCATTTTTGAGGCGGGGGAACTTACCCTGACTCTCTCCATCTGAGTGCCGAAGGGGTACAACAACTCAAACAGAATGAGGCCTAAAGAAAAGATGTCCACTTTATGAGAGTAGTTGTTTCCATGAATCTGAAAAATCCCACATAAACAAGAAATGTTAGAAAAATATTAACAGAGATAATGCAATCGATAATATGACATTGGTGAATCCCCAAGTTGACTTAGTCACTTCTTGGTTTAAATGTACTTGTAGGTACAAAAATGTTAGCAAAGAGTTAATCTCACAAGCCTCTTTTCTTCAACTCGCTACAGCAGAGTAATTAACCTAGTCAGCATCACAGAAAGGAAGCTAGGACAACTCAAGATATGCATCAGTAAAACAGGCCTGGCAGGACCCTGGAGCCTCTGGATGCTGGAAAGGTTTGTGGGAGCAGTAAAAGCTATTCCACTACCCTGAGGTGAGGTTTTTCAAAGTGAACACTATCTAAAGCAGATCTCTTATTCCTAACCATCTTAGTCCTCACCCATTTTTATGAGAAAATCTTCATTACTCCAAACCACTAATCAACTGTGGTTAGCCTTCATTAGGGCACTTAATGATGGGCCACTCTGCATTCCTAGTTGTATGTTTCATGTGCATATTTCCTATTCACAACAAGAGATGAAGTCCTGCAGGGAAGGGACCTGCCTCTTTTGTATTCCCACCACCCAGAACTGGGTTAAGTACAGAGAAGGCCCTCAATAAATACTTATTTGTTAAAATGAAGTCATGAATTACAACTGAAGCACTCTTAAACTAAGCCTCATTCAAAGTAAGGTGACCTTGCACGACTGAGTTGAACTCTTTTATTTGTGAAATTTACTTTGGGCCCCTAACTTGACATTTGGCAAACTAAAGGTGTCACTCTGGGACCCACATCAGCATTTCCTTATGGGGAGTCACAGGGAGCAGCCTGGATGATAAACCCTCACAGACCCCTCTCTCAACAGCACTTGCTGCCTGTCTCCCTGGGCATTCCCACAGGCCACCTGCCTCTGTGCTTACAGAACATAGAGCGTCAGATGGGAAGTCTCCAAGTCCACACCACCTGCATCACCTTCCGCTCACCCCTTACCTCTTATCCCTGGGGTTCAACAACAGAGCATACAGAGTACAGAGAAAAAGACATCCTCATACAATATTTGTTGAATATAAACTAACACACCTTCATGAAAAGCAACTGGCAATAAGTGTTTACTCCCACTTGATGGCCATAATTAATTCCACCAACCTTAGGAAAGATGGAAATGTAGAGAGAGATCTGTGCACAAGGACAATTATCTAAGAGAGGTCCATGCACAAGGGGTCTTATCTGAGTAATATTCCCAAAAGCAAAATTTACAAGTAACTAAAATGTTCAAAACAAATACTGAATAAATTGCTTAACATAGAGAATATCATGTGGCCAAAAGGTTTTCCAAGAACACTCAATAATGTGGGAAATGCTCACATTTTAATATTATATTCAAATATTTGCAGATGAGAATCCTAATTTTTTTTCCTAAAATTAGATAAAAATGTTTTAAGACACTAGTGGCCCAGTGCATGAAATTCCTCTGGGGGGGGAGGGGGGGAGTGTCCCTCAGCCCGGCCTGCACCCTCTCCAATCTGGGACCCCTCGAGGGATGTCCAACTGCCGGTTTAGGCCCGATCCCTGTGGGGCCTAAACTGGCAGTCAGACATCCCTCTCGCAATCCAGGACAGCTGGCCCCTAATACTCCTGGTCTAATTAGCATATTACCCTTTTATTAGTATAGATATGTACACACATACATCTTGTGTATTACAAAAAAGGAAATGATGAATGTTTCAGAATATTCATTAGTAATTTTTAGTTTTTCTTTATACCTTCCTGTATTTCCCATATTCCCTACATAGAGGATAGATTAACATGTAATAAGGGAAAGCCTAGTGTGGCTCAGTGACTGAGCATTGGTCCCTGAGTCAGGAGGTCACCGTTCGATTCCCAGTCAGGGCACAAAGCTGGATGGTGGGCTCAATCCCCAGGAGGGGGGTGTGCAGAGGAGGCAGCCAATTGACAATTCTTTCTTCTCCCTCTCTCTCCCTCTCTTGTTCTCTCTCTCTGACCTGATTGCCCCTAACCACTCTGCCTGCTGATCATCCCCAACTGTCCCCTCTTCTGGTCTGATCACTGCTAACTGCCCACCCCCTGCTGGCCTGATCGCCCCTAACTGCTCCGTACTGCCGGCCTGATGACCCCCAAATGCCGCCCCCCTGCTGACCTAATTGCCAACTGCCCCACCCCCTGCCAGCCTGCTGCCCACCCCCAACTGCTCCCCCCCTGCAGGCCTGCTCTCTCCTAACCACCTCTGCCTTGACCCTCACCATGGCT